CCAGCATCGTAGTCGTTCGTTCTGGCACCCTCGTCGTCCAGTCTGACGTCCTTGTCGCTTAGTCTGACGCTCACCCATCAGAAAATCATTGCATAAATTCTCTATACCGTCAAACGCAAAAAATCTAGATTAAGAGTGTCACCATTTGGCGAGAGGGAATTCAACAGTGGAATTATTACGATTAGAATTACAAGGAGCAATGATGCGGCGTGAAACTGAACAACAGATTGGCTATGCTTCGCACCGATCTGCTCTATTCTAAACTTATAAAAGAAGCCTGCTTTCCCAAATGCAACGATACAACAAGTCGAAAACCATGAGATTCGAAAGCTTTGATTTTGGCTTACTCCGTTCCGGTCTTGCAAAGCCGACCAAGATCTGGACTTAAAGTTGTACGCCAGAATGCAGTGGAGCTTAGGATTCAGTACCAGGACGTGTACCTTGGACCATTTGAAAAGTTGTTCTAAAATTTCCAGCTTTTTTTTTTTTGTTTCGCGAGTGATAAAGCTAACCCAAATTTGAACTTGAGGTCTTGTGTCAGGCCACAGAGAGCGACGGAGAAAGGTGTAAGTTAACTCTAGGTTTGTGACACGACCAAGGACCACGTTAACAAAATTTCAGCTTCTACATCTCGTTAACTTTTAGTTGTACATACACACGTGAAGCAAGATGAACATACATACGTAGAATACGGAAACATGACAGATGCCATCTTTCTTTTTTTACATAGAATATTCAGACTGAACGCATCAAAACTGTGGAACCACTGTGGAGGAATTTTAGTTTACCAAGAGGTGTCAGCTCAGAATCAATTTAAAAGCCGCAACTTTTAGAAGTTATCAAGCACAACAAGTCAGTGTCGCTGACCGCGATGAAACTGTAAAGCTAGATGAACTGAAAGACTTGATTCCAGCAGCAACAAAAGCATGATGATTTCGGGGAAGCAAAACCGACAGGTAATGATTTGCAAGGATTTTTTTTTGCTAATAATAAGCTCGATCGTGTGAACATTCTTCTGTGTCACTTCATACACAAGGTTCCTACGACATATTTTATGCAGGTCGACCTGGTCACATGATATTCACTCTACTCTTGGACGAAATAACTCTTGATGTTGTACACTGACACCTTTGTGAAAATATGGATGCATTTCAAGAAATCAGGTCTCTCCATGATAACATTGTTGGTAAAAGTTTGGCAAGTTTCTAGGAAAAAGTAGGCCATATGACAACAAACTGAAAACCCATGAAGGACATTTGTAAGAATTTTTACGATTTTTTTTTCCATCCGTCGTCACAGAATGCTTAACTTCCTGATCGTCTTTATCAGCTGCAACTGCCAGCGAGGTGAGTGCAGAAAGTACAATGAGCACCAAAAAAATCATTGGCGACGCGCACTAGGCGGACCCGTGCGATCATGCGTTTTTGCAGTGTTTCGTGCTGTAATAAGATCACTCCAAATTCCGCTAGCTAAAACCTCTTGTACATGCTGGTCCTCGAATTTCGGGAATTATCCACGCTGTACTTAGACAGGGAACATTCCCTTGAAATCCCAGGTTCCCAGCTTTCTCAGCTCCCGAGTTACCCAAACTCCAGCCAGAAAATTTCACGGGGCCGTACGTGACAACCGCGCATAACGGAAGGCTGAATTTGACAAATTTAAGTTGTAGATGAGTTGGAAACATTTCCTGAAAGTTTCAGTCTCCCAGCTCCCCTGGTTCCGGAGTTGTCCATTTTCCCGCCGAAAATTTTCACGAGGCCGTACGTGGCAACCACGCATAACGACGAGCTGAATTTGATAAATTTAAGTTGTGGATGGGTTGGGAACATTTCCTGAAAGTTTCAGCCGTCCAGCTTCATTGGTTCCCGAGCTAGCGATTTTCGCGCGAGGAACCTTCACGGGGCCGAACGCGGGAAACGCGCACACTTGGGGGGTGAATTTAAAACCTTTGAGTTCTATAAGGACAGGGAACATAATCCCAAAATTTGAGCTTTCTAGCTTTTCTGGTTCCCAAGTTGGTGATTTTCCCGCC